CAAGTTCAGATACCCAATCTAACGAAAATTTTCTTATATTTTTTAATAACTGCATCTTCGCTCAAATTCTTAAGAGAGAAAATCTCAAAGTATCGCGAGTAATAATCGGTTATAATCACGAACCATTTATTATGTTTGAATAAATCAATCCCGACTTTTTGCCAAGGCTTTCTGAAAACTTTTCTGCGACAAAAGGTTCTTTGAAATTTTTCCTCTTCTCTATACATTCGGGACAAAATTCGATAAGATTTTTTAATTGTATGTTCAGACCTGGTTACTAAACAGATTGTTTCGCCATGTCTCTACATTTTGTTATGCCTAAATGACCAGTATGTATTTTATTCATAATATCTAGTTGTAAAGGAGATATAATAATTCTGGAATACATAAGTGTATCTTTGCAAACAGAAATATTGTCTTTTAAATAATAATACGGTAAAAATCCGTCCTCCAACTTATTTTTTGCTGGCTATTTATTGCGACAGTAATTTATTAGTTGTGAACAAATATAATCGTCTTTTTGCTCTTGTTTGATTTTCTCGATAAAATTTTTTGAAGCAGGTAGACTGTCCACAATGGTTTAGTTTTGTAAGAAAGTTACTAAGAAGTCCCTAAGACAACCGATGGATGGCGCCATGAGTGCTGTTCAGTAACCAAAAGAGCGCCTCTCGATCGAACACGACACGAGTGAGTGACACTAGGAAAGGACCAATCAGACAAGGGCTGATGCAATCTTTGTTAACTTTGAAATCACCGAACGTGCTCCGATGCGCGGAGCAGCGAGCGACGGGGACTCTCTCCCTAGTCGGCGAATGATACGGACGTGTCATCCGCGAGAGTTCAAGTCGAATAGTCGAAAGTAGTAATTGTAGTGAATATAATCGAGATATCGTTACAGGCGATATCTGTTAAATCGTTGTATTACGTTGTAGACTCAGTGAAAATATAGATAAACCGCATTATATTAAAGTTGTGAAAAAGTTATTGCGCCTGCTCCATTATCCAATACGTGCCGGTCACCTCTCTCAGTGCGTGTATTCAATCATCAGACAATAATTATAAAAACGGACATTAATTCCTGACAAAACGGTTACTTTATTTAAATTTAAAAAGTACAAGAATCTTACAGACAAAATTTCAGAAGTGGGATTTGAATTTGCGTCATCATTAAAAAAAATAAATATAAGAAACGCTGTGTTGATCACGGGTACAGAGCAAGATGAGCACGTGCACAGAACGTGATGCCGAGGACAAGGATGATGGAAAGAGCGACACTTGAAGCAGCACCATTGGAGCAACTCCAAAAGGAAGCGAAACGCTTTCGTTTCCCGTTGTCGGAGGATCGAAAAATACTTATTGAGACAATTATGTCTCATTTAGAGAAAATAGGCCCGACGGAACTAGCAAAGGAAGAAAGAGGGGAAGCAGCCTCGTTGGAACATCCAGTAATAGCGACCGATTACACGCGCTCGCGAGGATCACAGAAACTATCCTGCAACAGCAAAGAGATATGCAAAAAGCGCAAAATCAGTTTATGACGCAGGTACTCCAAGAAGTCAGATCTAATTGTACGGGAAACGAGAGACAAGAGGTGGTGTCGCGCAATGAGATAGGCGAAAGCGGGAAGTCGAGATTACCAAGGGCTGACTCAGGAACTATGGACTGCTCACCAGCTCGGCAGGAGATACGGCCGGCTCCCTACGCAGCAGACGTATCAATGGGGAATGTAGTCAATTGGTTGGCCTCACAAATTCCCGAATTCGGTGGAACTGAAACAGAAAATATAAGTGCGTGGGTGCAACGCGTGGACAAGATAGCACAAGTACACGGTGCGTCCGATGGAGCGACCTTACTCGCGGCGTCGAGCAAGTTAATAAAATTCGCACGCACGTGGTACGATATCCAGAACGGAGTAGCAATTGAATCGTGGTTCGGACTTAAACCGGAGTTAGTGAAAGTGTTCGGGAAGAAAGTGCCCTTCTATAAGCAGATGCAGCGAATAGAAGCACGTAAATGGAACCCGAACAAAGAAACGTTCGATCAGTAATTGCTAAAAGAGCATTGATGCAAATGATAGACTTACCTACCAGAGATATGATACATATTCTCATAGGCAGGATACCGCAGAATGCGTTAAGGGCAACAGCATTCTCCGTAGCTGATACCTCGTTAGACGTATTCCTGGAGAAAATGAGAAATATTACGGAAGGTATGTTGGATAGTGAGATAAAATCGTGTGTGACACCGAACATTAACAAGACTAAAGACATAGTGTGTCGCAATTGCGGAAAACGGGAGCATACACACAAGGATTGCAGAGACGATTCTACCTGCTTTTTCTGCAAGGAAAAAGAACATCGCCAATTCGACTGTCAGGCCCTGCGGAATCGACAAGGGACGCAAGGAGCACGCAGGCCGACAAACAGTGCAAGCAGCAGCAGCGGTGT